GTCCGCCGGGGGCATTTCAGCTCCCTTGTTACTGCCTCTGTGGTATGGGCGAGCCCTCGCGTCTGTCCCCCTCGGTTTCTGCGAGGGGTAAGTCGATTTGGGCGCACCCGTGTGCGTGGCTTAGCACTGGTTTGGGGGAGAATATGTTATGCAAAGTGCCTATTTAAAATATAGCGAGAGTTTCAGCCATATAGGTCCCGTCTGGATGAGGCAGTGTGTGCGGGCGGTGGGGCTGCTCTGGCTCGCCTGTACAAGGAGGCGCAGAACGGCTGATGTCTGCGGGCGTATTTTGTAACGCAGGCGACTTTCTGGGTTACTTAGCAAAGAGTGAATGAAGACAAGGTAGCACTGTGCAAATGGTTATTAAATCTTCCAGTGATTGTTAATAAATTTCATCAGGCTTTTCGAAAGGTTCTAGGTCCTGGAAAAAGTTTTGAAACTTCTGCCTTGCTATTTAAGGTTTGGTGGATAACAAGCAGCAAAAAAACCTGAGCTGACTGAGGAGCTGTAATGGTAACTGAAACTGGGGCTTTCAGATATCTTAGTAGTAGTCATCAATGGGAACTTTCTCCATATTTTTGCCTAATTTTTTTTTTCTAAATGTTATCTGATTCCTGTAATGGGGCTAATAACACATGTTATTTGGAGAATGTTTTCTTGACTTGTTACTAAGTTTCATCTTTTTGTACACAGGAGATTAAATGTTCGAGTGAATATTGAGCTACTGTCAATTTCCAGTCCTGTTCATAAAAAGGTTTGTGGATTAGTTATATTTCTGTCATTCATTAGGTATTATCTGAATTTCATTGTGTAAGAGGACAAATAGGCAAAGGAAAAGCAAAATAGGATTTTATGATGTTTGTCACATGACCTTATTTTGGTTTTGATATAATTTCTTGAGTTAATTTAGTTGGTTTGGTATGGTGGTTTTTTCCTAGCCTTTTTAGCCCTCTCTTTTAGTTTGTCTGTTCACGGGTCTTAGTAAACTTGCAAATTAAAAGTATTTTGAGACCCTCAGAGGAGCCTGAGTTAGAGCTTAAGACCATCTTGCTTTAAATATACTCAACACTTATTTAAGAATGTAGAGCAGCAGTTGTCTTAACTAGCAAAAATGAGAATTGTATGTGGATGTAACATTTTGCTTTTTATTGATAAATGTGTTAGTCTTTGAATGTTTGGAATTCATCCGGTGGATGTAGGAAGGAAGTAATGTACTAAATTTGCAGTAAAAAAAAGTTGTCTTTCTCAGGGAAGAATAGCAATGAGATTAGTACTGGAGGCTGTAAAGTCTCTTTTGTTGTATGTCTGATTTGTCACTTAAACTGTACATCCACCTCCCGTGATATTACGATTGGCTATTAGTTGGTTATAGTGTTATTGAGTAAAGATTTGTTTGTGAAGGAGTACAGTGGTTTTTGTAAGATTCTGCTAACTGTGACGATAACATTGAGTGTGAAGAAGCATTTCAGTTAACACATCCAGCTGTGTCAGCAGAAGCCTGGAAATCCAGTAAAGTACATCAGTGAGTGATCAGTCTAAAAAGAGAACTTCAAATGCTGGGATCAGATAATGGGACATTGAACCAAGCAGGCATTCTTATCCTGCTCAACAACCTGCCCTAGTTGGTTTGCGGTGGCATTAGTTTTGACATAAGCTAGCTGCACATGTAAATCCCTAGGTTTGTTTATGCATCTTCACTGTGAGTTTCATTAGTGTTACTGGTATCTGAGTTACTGAAATTTGTTTCAGTTTTGTATGTGTATATGTGCTATGGTCGCACTTCGGGTACGTTGGAAGAACTGACCTTTCTTTCCTCTAATAGGGAATATTATATTGTTCACACAGGTTTGAGCCTCATTATAGAGAACAGGTGTCTCGGCCTGAGGTACCAGGTGTCTTGCATAACCCCAGCTTTGTAATGAGAGACAAATGTTTGCAGAGAAGACAGTTTTTCCAAAACACTCTGTAGGCCTCCAGCGAACAAATGAGTTTATTTTTAAAAGCTAAGCAGCATAGTGCTACAGTTTTCCTTATGACCTTACTGGACTTCAGCTGTATCCATTTTAAGTTTGTTTTGTAAAGCTCTGTATTCAAATACATAAACTCTTCAGAAGGTGGTTTCTTAAACTTTTAGGAGCAGTATGCTCTGAAAAACTTGCAGTTATGGGAATGATGTGTGTGTCATCCATTGCAATGGACTAGTGATACACACTATTTCATGATGGGGGAAAAATAGCAAATAGTTTTCTTTCTGTAAAATGGTAAAGACACATTGACTTTTGAAACCTTTGCTGCTTGACGTTGAAGGTTTTTACTTGGTTTATTTTTGTGAGAGAGAGTTTTCCTGTTTTTCCCCACTGTAATATTTGAAGTTCTGTTAAACATTAATGTTTTTCACCTTCTTAATTAGTTGCCACAATTCTATCTTATTTTTGGTTAAAAAGTAAAAATACTAAATATTATTTGTGATATTGGTTTACAATATTTAAACAATCCTACAGGGTGGTTAATATTATTTTAAATCATATTTAAATGTCTTTTTTCAGGATTTAGCTGTTCGATTGACTGATGATACTGATCCTTTTTTCCTTTATAACCTTGTCATATCTGAGGAAGATTTTCAAAGGTAAGTGAAATTAATGTACTGTCTATGAAACATTTCTAAATCACTAAAAAGAATGAAGGAATATTTTTAGCTTAGAAGGGTCTAGCTTAGAATTTAGCTTTTGGCATTTTTCACTTCTGAAGTTTTGTTGGTGTTTTGGTAGTATTGTTTTTTTTGACCAGTTGGTGAAACAGCCAAGTGCAGGAAAGTGATTGGCTCAGGATGATATAGATGAATGATAGAATCCTGATGTTAAGTTCCCTGAATAGCTACACTACCACAGTTTATATTACTACTTGCATCTTCTGTTTATTGTAACTACTCTTTGAATGCGTGTGAACTATTGCTTGAAATAATTGCAAGGGGAAACTCTTTGCATGGACAAGGATTCACAGACATGAGCCTTTGTCTTAGGGGTTTCTTGCATACTAATTGTACTGTTGGGTCTCATTTTACTTGCTCAGAATTTGGTTGTCAAATTTGGGCATCAGGCATGAACAGTTCAGTTTTTTTCTTTGTTATTTGGGTTAGTGTTGTGGTGGTGGTGTTTGCTGCTGTTTTGTTGTTGGGTTTTTTTTTAAAGAGAGGCCATCAGAAGGTGACAGTAAAACAGTGTTTGTAAAACAGATGTGCAGAAATGTTTTGTTATACAAGGTGTGGCTTTGTGCATACTGTTCAATGTCTGTTTCTGTCTTTGAGTTTACTGTGTGTATGGTGAAGGTGAGCATAAGTGAGCAGGCAGATGAAGTCTTGAGAATGGTTGAGTCTCCTTCTCATTGTCCTTTGCTTCTTCCATGTGCCCCATCCAATAACTGTACCACTCTGTGCTGTAAGGAAGATGTCTAATCAAATGATTGTGTTCAGGACTGAAAAGAACATGCTAGTGAACTTGAATGACATGATCAGAATTAGTTCTTTCTACTAATGTAAACAAAATATTTAGTAGGAAATAAATTACACTTCTATATATTGTTAATATGTTGTTTTTTTTTTTTCCCCAATCTGTTTATATAGTTTAAAATCCCAGCAAGGTCTCTTGGTAGACTTTTCTGCTTTCCCACAAAAATTCATAGATCTGCTTCAGCAATGCATTCAGGAACAGAACAAAGATACCCCAAGGTAGGTAGTGAGTGCCGTGTTACTTTGTGTGTATGTGCTGAGTTCTTAAAATACTTGCCAGCCACTCAGACTTGGAAGAGTCAGTAGAACAAGGATATTGTAACATTCCTCTGGACTCATTTAAGTATTAGTCAGTGGGTGTTACTGACAAAACCTAAGTCTTGGGAGGACTGAGCAGTGGAACTGAGTCTCCCCACCTGAGTTGAAGCTGGCAAGATTCACAAGCTAGCAGATGTGCAAGGATGCAGCACTGGTCCCTATTTTTTTTTTTCTTTCTTCCCCCTCCTTCCCCCTCAACAGGTTACTGCTAGAGAGATTTGGTGTAACAAGGTGTAAATCATTCTGTTTCACAGAAGACAAAGTTATAAGGCATTCTGAGAAGGATGACTTTTTTGTTTAATTTCAGTGTTCAGATATTAACATGTGAGGGGAAAGACCCGAGGTCCACTCTTCCTTGTATTGGCCTTTTCATGTGTTATTTTTGTTTGTGTGGGTACCGAGGAGAGCCCTGTCCAGAGCGCCTAGCTCGACTCCAGAAGTCAGGCCATTTCATGAAGTATATACTGGGGGCTATGAATTTTACTAGATTGTAGGATAACTAAAAGTCAAGAGTCTGATTTCTTTTTTGGCTTTGGTTATAAAGGCCTTACTTGTTTTTGGACTCATAAGTCTAAGATGAGCTGCTGAAAATTTTGCAAATAAACAAACTGATTAGTTTTGTTCATTTCTTATTATAAGGTGCAACCATTTTAGTTGATATTTGTTTGTACTATTAACTACAACACAGGGGTTGAATTTCATAGTTCTTTTTCAGACAAAAACGGGACAGCCTTTTATTGCATATATAAAAATGTATTTTATTTGAAAATAGCTTGTAGGATCTTCACATAGTTTCAGGAAAAGATACATGCTAAACATCTGATTATTTTTGTTTTTCCCTAGGTTTTTGCTGCAGTTAGTTTCTTCAGCATCTGTTCTAGATCACACACCTGTCTCTTTAAATGTAGTGGAGACCAACCCTTTTAAACATCTTACTCATCTCTCTCTGAAATTCCTACCAGGAAATGATGCAGAAATAAAGAAGTTTTTAGCCAGCTGTTTGAAATGCCTTAAGGTAAAATGAAGGATTGTCATAGCTGCAGCTAGGCCTTGATGCTCTGTGTACTTGAGCATTTTTTTCAGTCTTATTACTTCAAAAGTATGTACCAAATTGTGTGCTCTGGTTTATTTTTTATTTTAGCTCATCTGTCATTGCATATAGCTGTTAGTGTGCGTGTTATAAAACGAAATTATTGCTTTCACTATAGCAATGAAAATATTAGACATAAATTCAACTTGGTGCTATAATTTGAACTGGCAGAACATCAGGTATTTTAAACATGCAGTGCAGGCAGTAGGCAGCTGTTGAATGCTTCTGAATGCTTCAGTGTCTTGTGCTTCATAGCCTTGTGCTGATTGCCAGATGAGCTGCAAAAGTGAAATACTGGAAACTTTCCGTCTCTGTTCTGCAGCAGGGGTTAGGAAAGCATGTGTGTGTATAGAATTCTGTGTCTTTATGGACTTCAAAGGGCTAGTAGCTATACATAGCAAATTATGATTGCCATGTTAATGCAGTTGGTAGCATGCTAGGTTTCATTTAATGAGAAATTAATGGTCTCATAGTTTGACTGTTGTCTAAGTTTCATAGCCTCGAATTTGTGTCTCTTCTACTGTGCTGTCATGTTTATAGCCACCTAACCAGCCATTTTAATAAAATAAATTTACAGTATATCAGTTGATTTGTTGTTCATGCAACTCCTTTTTAAACAAGTTGTTACAATAAGATACTATTTCCTCATAGAAACAGGGTTTTTTTACCTTGTGTGCTAATGCCTTTTCTTTTAAATGTATTAATTATATCTTATTCAATGTGAAATTGATTAAATAAGATGATTTTTCCGCAAATATAGTGGGTACGTGGTTGTATAGGCAGGGTATGCTGATAAAATGCAAGCTAAATATTATTTGTATTTTGGGAGCTAAGGATTTGACTTCATGTCAATTTGTACATAGGAAGACAAAATGATGTTGGAAGAAAAGCTTAGAAAAACTGAAGAGGATCTTACCAGACAACTGAGCTACACTCAACAGGTAATGTAATCTTTAACTTTCCTGTTGTAAGTTGCACTTTTTTAAATCTGTGGGAAATGTACCTTCTTGTGGGCTGTTGGTTAGTCACTACCTAGCCAAGATAATTGACTTGGGGTGAGTGAAGAGAAGAGTAGTCTACTGGAGCTTTTCCTAAGAAGGAATTAAGCATGCACCTGAAGAATAAAATTTAGTTCTTGCAGTGCTAAAACAGGACTTTATTTTGTACAGAGGTCTGCATATGCACACACACATTATATACTGGATATATGTTAGTATGACAATAAATATAGTCTACGTATTCTGTGAGTGGTTGGAAATCCTTATATTTGTAAAAATTGTGAAACCATGATAAATCAAAGTCTTGGACTTCATGTTATTCTACTACTTTTTGAGTTTTGCTGTCAGCCCAGCAATGACTCACATTTGTGTTTCAAGAGGATGATTTGGGTCAAATTCTAGAATTATCAAGATGAATTTTTTTACTACCATGAAACAGAAAAAATTCCATTAAAACTATTTTGCGTGTTTTCTGGAATGGAATACTCATTGTACCTCATCTCTGCAGTTTCAGTTGGAGTTATTGGAGTGTGTTTGCTGAATTGGAATGCAGAATTACAAATGAAAAAGGAAAAGATGATGCTGAAGAACTTTTTTTTTTTTTTTTTGCTCTACTAGAGCACTTTGTGTTAGAAGGACAGGGAACATCAGCAGACTGTTTTATCAGTCTTAAGTAGTGTCTGGAAGATTGGAAATGAAGATTATTTTATCCACAGTGTCAGATAAGGTGCTCTTTAGTTTCTCAGTGCCTTGTTTTCCTGTTTGCAGAATGAACAGATATTTTGGCATCTGGTGCTGAAAGTTAAACTTTTCTTGATAATTCCATGTCTCTTTTTAAGATGTAACAGTAAAAAAATCATTCCGTATAGACTGAAATGCTTAACTTTTAAAACTCTATATGCTTTGTCAAACTCAAAACAGAGCTTGTCAGAGAAGAGCCGAGAACTAGACAAACTGAAAAATGAATGGACATCATACACTACAGCTCTAACAAACAAACACACACAGGAGCTGACAAATGAAAAGGAAAGAGCTCTCCAGGTATGACAGCAGAAAAGAAGTAACAATATTCTTATATGTAAATAGTTTCTTGGCTTAACTTTCAGATTCATTGAAAAACTACTTCTTTGCTTCTCATTATAGGCACAAGCTCAATACCAACATCAGCATGAACAACAGAAAAAGGAATTAGAAAATTTGCATCAGAAAAGTATTCAACAGTTGCAGAACAGACTCTCAGAACTTGAGGTCATCAATAAAGATCTAACTGAAAGGAGATACAAAGGAGAGTCGACAGTCAGAGAACTGAAAGCAAAGCTTTCTGGAATAGAAGATGTATGGGCTTATTAATTTCCATAAGCAAATTTACTATTTTTAGAGCATTAACACTGCCTGCCTGTGCATGGAATGGAAAACAGAGCATATTAAGTTTGTTCGGCTCCTCTTTATTCCACATCATGCTTTATATTTAGATTTATCTGTTTAAATTATTATTACACATTTTCTTAAAATTCCTTCCCAACATTCTAGGAATGTCAAAGAGCAAAGCAGGAGGTGCTCTCACTGCGTCGGGAGAACGCTACTCTGGATGCTGAATGTCATGAAAAAGAGAAACTTGTTAATCAGCTACAGACACGGGTTGCTGTTCTGGAACAAGAGATCAAAGATAAAGATCAGCTAGTCATTAGAACAAAAGAAGTATTAGATGCGACACAAGAACAAAAGGTTCCTTCAAGTTTCAAAATATTTTTCTCTAAAGCTCTGTAGAACCTTTTTAACTGCACTCTATAGATGAGCAGGTGACCAGTTTTTACGCATAGAGCAAATGAGGTTTCAAATGTAGTTACAGATGCTAAATTACGGCATCAAAAGTATAATGGATTCAGTTTTACAAAGATCGCTGCTGTTTTAGTATTGTGGTTCTGGAGTAAAGTTAGTAGTACTTCTTGTAAACAAAAAAAAGGATAAATTTAAATCCTAGGTAATTTGACTGAAAAGCAAGGACTGAATGTCTTGTTAAGGATTAGCTCTCAAAGAATTATTGAGGTTCTACTTGAAATCATAAGTGATGTCTATCACATACCTTCATTATAATATTTTTAATATTCTTTTAAAGGTGATACTGGAAGAGAGTACAGAGAAAAAACAAAGTCATATTGAGAAACTAGAGACAACAATTAAGTCACTGTCAGCTGAACTTCTTAAGGTTTGTTTGAACATGCCATTGTCCTTAATGTCTTCCTTATTTTTAGGTGTGTGTTTATTTTGAGAATATCTGATTTATTTTTTTAATAGGCTAATGAAATTATTAAGAAGTTACAAGGAGACTTGAAAACTCTAATGAGTAAATTAAAATTGAAAAATACAGTAACAATTCAACAGGAAAAACTATTGGCAGAAAAGGAAGAGAGACTTCAAAAAGAGCAGAGAGCATTGCAGGAGACAGGACAATCTCTTCAAATGAAAGAGCAGGAGGTATGGTGATATGTTAATGCTCTGTCCTGTAAATGTGATTGTGTGTAGTGTGGTGGTTTTTGTGGTCTTTAACTTATTTATTTACAGCACTATGGTCTTATATCTTTCTGTGGAATAGAATGTGCTCTTACCTAGTTAACACATTTACTTGAATGTGTCATCAACTTTTAATTTTTCTCATGTTAAACTGACTTTTAAGAGCCATCCATCCATATGGAAGAAAACTAGAATTGTATTGTTGAGTACAAAGCAATATAAAGGATGAATTCACATGCTTTAGAGGGCATGTTCATGTGAAAGCTGGTGAAGGAGGCAAGAACAGGAAGAGTGAACTTTTTCTTCCATTAAGTATATTCCCCTGCTTAGAGTCCCTGCATTATTTAATAACAGAAAAATTGAGGTTGGAAAGATTTCTGGCTGTCTTCTTGTCAAAAACCTAGCTACTGGAAGGATTTATTTTAAAAGAACTATTATACTGCTTTTGTAAAAAAACTGAGTTCAGACTTCTCTAATTAATTTTAGAACACCTTCATAGATCCTTTTCATTTATTTATATTATTTCTTCAGTTTGTAATTAATAGTGGCTCCTGATGGTGTTATAATTATTTCTGGGAATATTGCAGGTTTGCAAGCTACAAGAACAGCTAGAAACTACCATACAAAAACTAGAAGAAAGTAAGCAGTTACTGAAAACCAATGAAAATGGTAGGTCTGTACAATGTCCTTTCTCCCTCTGTAAAATGACATAGTAATCTAGCTGCTGCTGAACGTTACTGGAAGCAGCTATATTGCTTACCTGTGCTGCTCTTGTAAAGAGCTGCAATTATTGTCATTGATGGAAAATAAGGTTCTGGCTGTAGTGGGTGTGCAACAACCTGGAGCTGCAAGGAGAGATGACTTCCTTTGCAGCTGGTGCTTGGGGTCGCTTGGGGTACTGTGGTTGTGGGGGCTAGCTCTAGAGCAAGGAACAGAAGGGCGTGTAGGGGTGGAGGGCGCTTGAACAAAAAAAGGCTTTTCATGAGACTAGGGCTTCTAGTGATGCTTGAGCTTAAGGAGGAAAAATATCCCACCAAGCTGTCAGTTTCTTTCAGGAAGGGCTACTTGCAGTTTTAAACAACGTGCAAGAGGTGGGAAGTGAGCTTGACCTTTTTTTTTTCTTTTCCCCTCTTCAGTGATCACATGGTTAAACAAACAGCTGAATGAAATTCAGATGGCCAAGAAGCTAGAGACTCCTGCCAGTACGCATGGTGGGGTCAGGACTGCTGTTTCACCTCAGGGCATGGTAAGATACAACTATAAATAACATGGCTATGATGTAGTTGTCATTTCCTGACATGTATGGCCTTAAAAGAAAAGCAAAAAAACCCAAACAACAAGTGCTTTTGTCATTGTTGGGCCTTACAGTTTTGGCTGGGTGTAGGGTTGGTTGGTTGGTTTTGGTTTTTTTAGTAACATAATACCCTGTTGGGTATTACCCTGCTGGGTATTGTGTTGATGCCCTGGCCTTCAAAGTGAGAATTTTCCCAGTTTTCACTTACTAAAATACAACAGTGCTAAAATTGGCTTGGAAAAGATGAACTGCAGGTTGAAGGGGGAAAAAAAGAAGACATTTTTGTGTTGAGGTTAACTTACATACTAATTATCTTTCTTGGAGTTGAAAATTTACTTTTTGACTACTCTTATTAGTGCGATTTAGAAACATGAAAATAAGGGATAAGAAACGTTAGCTATTATCTTTAAGATCACTTATTGCTGCTCATTCTTTGTCATCTCCCGATGTGTGCAGATGTCTGTTTTCACCTCGCAGCTGATGAGCTGCTTATCCAGTAGTGGAAGGGCATATTCATGCAGAGGTCTCTGATTTATAGCTAGGTACATTTAATATATTGATCAATTACCGGGTGTGTAGGTTATTTTGAGCTTATAATTATTAGCTTAAAGAGTGCTCAACATGTCTAACTTTCTTAAGGAAAACTTGTAACTTTTTAAAAATGTGAATATAGGAAAAGTGATGTTTTTTTCCCGTTGGGAAGAATCAAATGAGCGTTGGCTTTGTAATTATGGTTACTTGTTAATTTTGGAATTTGGAATCTCTACAAACAAGTACTTCAAGAATTGTTTTTCTCCTTTATGGATGTATTCTATTTCTCTCACAGCCTGACCGACCATCCTTTCCCAGCTCAGGAATCAATCATCCCATTTCTCCTCTCTACGCCTTCCAGAACTTTCTGGAACCAGCACACAACAAAAGCATCAACCCACACTGTCCAGTACCAAAGGCAGGCACTTTGACTTTTCTGTTTGGTTAAGAATGCGATAGCATAAAATATCAAAGCTGAATGTTTTGAATTTTTCTTAAAATGCATAAATATTTCCTGTATATCCTTGTACTCCTAAACTCTCTCTTTTGAACATTAGCTATTACTAACAGGAATAATGCTTGGCTTTAGGTTGCTTGTTCTTGCATGCTTTGCTGTACAGAAGTGCTGTGGAAGGTATAGAAACATTAATCCCTGAAAAGTTCACTCTCTGAATACAGTGACTGGTGGGCCATCGTATCTGGAGTAGCTCTCTCTAACCTCCAACTCTCTGCTTCTGCAGATCCAGTTTAACACACAGCTTTCTAAAATGAATCGATGTGCAGATGTTCAGACAGCGACTGCTGCAACCAGTCATCCGGCAAATAAGGAGAAGTACGTGTCATCTATTGCATTTTTAGTGGTGTTTTTTTTAACTTCTATAAAACTATTTGTCTTGTACATGCCTGGAACTGAGCAGAACATTTCCAGTACCAAGGTTGTTCTGTGATCTGCCTTTCTCCATTAATGTGTTAATGAATTTCAAGTTGTGGCAGATTTAATTGGTCATGAAGTGTGGTTTGTAGATAACAAACGAAGAGCCATGCTTTCAGGAGTGGGTTCCAAGGAACAACAGGTATATGTTCCTCTTGGTGCCAGATCTAAGGCTATCATGTGAGGAGTCAGTCAAAAAATGAATTCTCGACTGGTCTTAATCTACTCAGTAATGGTTTACCTTAAATGATTAAGTTCATAGGGATGCAGTAGTTCCACTTCAAGTTAAGATTTTTCTGAATGAGTCTGTATCCATGCTTCTTGTTAATGCACTGCTAACTAACTACATTTGTGTTAAATTTTAATTAGCCTCTTTATTTCCAGTGGTGACAATTTGGTGCTGGAATCAAAGTATTTCAAGAAAAAAGACGACAGCATTCCTTTACGAGGGCTTAGTCAAAATACACTTAACTCAGGTATGTATGGCAATAGTAAAACAAGACCTGACTTGAAATGTATTTTAAGGCTAATAGTAGTATGGTTCTATGAACAGCATCTTGTTTCTGCTCTTCTACAGAGTACCTGAAACCGTACTTAACAAAAGCCCAGCCGTCACCAAAAGCTGCAGTAACACAAGCCTCAGCTTACTTCCCTGGATAGCAGACAGGGTTCTAAAGTAAGAGTCGTTGGATTTTTGGATGTCCTGCAATAATGGATTAGTAAAGTATCAATGTGAACTGAATTTTTTATTAAGTCTGAATCTATTTTCTTTGAGGAAGAGATCTTGACTGACTTGGATGACTTTTCAGGATACTTTAGCCAATTCAGAGAAGATAAAGCTTTAGGCAGCCTCAGCCTTAGGGGGCACACCGCTGTACTTGGCACCAGGGCTGTGCTGAATTTTTTCTTGGTTTGTGGGAGACCCTGTAGTTTTCCAAAAACCTACTTCAGTAAGTGCACTTGCTTTTTTACAGGAATTGACAAGTGTGGCTCTGTAACAGATGAAATGTACATGCTAGCATTCCCTGAGAGAGAACATTTCTCTATGAATACTTTTCTTGACTCCTTTTGGAGACAGGATGATGCACATAAGAAGTGCTGGAGAACTTTTAATAATGGTCAAGCAGCATGGCTGCCTCAGTAATCCTCCCTTAGTTTTAATTTTTTAAATTTGCTTAATTATGGAACCAGCTTATTTGGATTGCATATAGACTTAAAAATAATCTAATTAATATTAAAGATGCTAAATTATTTCACTGAAGCTATAAAATTATTTAAAATTATCACTCTTGGTTACTCCAACTTTTCTATTAATCTGTCAGTATTATATTCCACAGGCCCTCAACCATAAACCATTATAAGGTGAAGTATCTGAACAGTTGAACTACTGAAAGTATCACAACATCTAAAAGCTACTTAATATTCACTAATCATACTTTACAACTCTTAAAGACTGCAGAAATTTAAGATACTCTATCACTCAAGTTTAGGTGGACTGAGTCTGTTGAGCTTGCTCTGCTACCTGGGCTCACATGGTAGAATTGTGGAACAACTTCATTCTGTGCCATCTGTTATGTGGTGTCTCACTCAAGAACAGGCATGCAAGTATTTTGTAACATACAAAACACACTTTTAAAAATGACTTTTTACATACTTTTGTTGTTAAAGATATTTCATACCTTTTACCTTAGTAATTTAAGTACATCCAGAGGATTGTCTATTTAAGTGATTTGTTTTGCAGTGCAAAAATGTGTATATTTGTTTATAATCAGCACCGTGTTAATGTATATTCACCTGTTTTGTCATGTGTAAGTTTCAATTGAAATATTAAATGGTTTTTAATCAAAAACTCTAGTAATGTTTCAAGAGTACTAAACCACCATTATCTCCACTGTACTGAAATGCCAAGCTGAGGTAAGTGCCAGAATGGTACTGTTTTCTTCACCATACCTTTTTCTGGAGTTTTCTTCCCAGCTTTATTCATTTCTCCATGCAAAGCAGTGCTATGGGACCAGCATGATGACACACCCACCCTCCCCAGGTGGCAGCCATCCCATTCTAAGGTCTGTGCTTATGCTTCTATTTCTAGTTAAATGTCAGTAGGTGTAAGTTAATGTGAATTGAGTTGATTTATCTTGAAGTCTATATAAGCTGCTATCAGACAACAGGAAGCTGGTAATTAAAATGTGTTTGCTTTCCAGATCTCCCCGCCCTCTTCACATCTAAAGTGAAACAGAACCATAGCAGGCCTGGGAACACTTAACACCACTGTGGCCTGGGGAGGCAGAAACTAAAGGCTGAGTGGCTTTGTTACTGACCCCTTTCTTGTCACCTGTATCCACTGCACTCCTGTTCCAGGAGATCCCCAAGGACACCAGCTGCAGCCAGCCTGTGCGGCTGAGGGCAGCCTTAGCTAACAGGCAGAACACAGCGCTGGACCTGGCCCCCAGCCCTTTGTTCCCCCCCTGCTGCAGCACTGCATGCACACACTACACAACTTCAGTTGAGGTTTTAAGAGACATTAACAGTTATTTAAAAATTCATTAAAATACTCAACTTTATTAACAGCATATTTACATATTTTTTCCTGCTCTTGGTCAACCATGGTGCATGTTCAAAGGTAAAAAAAGCATTAAGCAATAACCACAAGATGAAAACATTTTAAACCTATACAATACTTTATACACAAATTTATACAAAGGAACACTTAAATAATAAAACTGGACACAAAAATATACACTTTAAGAGAAATTCACATCAGTAATTGTATAAAGCTCTCTTCTGTACTAAGGGTCCTGAAAATTTAGGACTAAAACATTAGCTCTGTAATGCAAAAGGGTTATTGTGACAGTCCTCAAAGGCCACTATATAGCACATGGACATATTCAAGGCTATCAGCTTATATTTCAGTCTGTGTATTCAAGTTTTGAGGTCCTTTATGATTACGTTATGATTACGCAAACATCAGAAAGATAGTGGTATAGTAAACGGCAGAGTTTTGGAGCCAATATTAAAATTTGTAGGCTCAAAACACCCACTTAATATTTTAACAAGTGTTTGATATTACCGTTTATTCAAAAATAGAAAGAGTAAATGCACTTACATAAGAATAACGTTTACTGTTCAGCAAGCGTGCTCATGTGATTTTTATATTAGTACAAACTTAAAAAAAAAAACCTGCCATACGACTTTAAGATAAATGATACCAATTCACCTTCTCCCTACTTGAGTACATTTACATTAAGGCTTTGAATCATCTGACCCAAGATTTTACAACATTAAAATGAATGGGTCCACACGGCTGCTAGTATGTCTCATTGAGACACAGCGTGACTAGAATTAAAGCTCACCACCTTAAGGAAACAGAAGGACACATGCTCATGCCTTGACTCTATTCTTTTGTTGCCTCTGAACTAGAATGTAAAGTTTAGTAGTAACAGTATTTCATGGCAAGAGACAAGTATGTAACAGTGTGTTTTAACAGTAAATTATTAATTCCATGGCAACATCTTTGGAGAAACTTCCTTTTTGTTTTAATTCCTACAAATTTCATGCAGAAATATACTTCTTAAGATTACCTTAAGAAATTACATTTTTGATGGAATAGGAATGTGTATCCCCACTGCTGATGAAAAAAAAAAAAA